ACCATGCAAAAGGTACTGACTTTTTGTTTTGGGGGAGCAGGAAGAAGCCGGTAAGCGTCCTGTGAACCAAGTAATTGCTTACCTTAACTGCTTTCAACACATGATTGGTAATCCAGAGTTAGCCATTTTCCTGTTTCAAATCAAATCGAGTCTTGTTATAAGACAAATTATGGATGCCAAGGGCAGGCAATGGGCTTCATTTTGTATCCATACTCCTTGATTATTTGCCCCAAAAACAGGTCGTCAGGGTTTGCGGGCTGGCAAAGTGACTGTACTGTATATATGGTACAATATTTTAACACAGGGACACTCTAAAGCTGCATAGCAATTATAAACATGAGTATTAAATACTGGTATCGAACAGTCAGACCATTCCATTTAAAATGTGGAAGCTAGCATGTCAAACTTGGTCATTAAATATGAATAAAACAAACCTAAATAGATGCCTTTGACTGCAGCTAAAAAGGGTAAGCAGCAATGCTGGCTGGCATGGTCATCTAAGAGGTTATGTTACTTTTGGGGGAAGAGAGGTTGTTTTTCCTGGAGCATACCCATTAATTTCCTTGGCGTAGTTTGACCATGGCAATCAAAAATAAGTTGTTCAAAGTGATTTAAAGTATTTTGATGTGTGTGTTGTCAACTTTGTCTGATTCAACAACATACACAAGTGAACTGAATAAAAAATGCAAGTTGAAAACCAGCCAAAAATTAGCCATATCATTCTTTATTACAAGTTCTGCTTCAACAAATATGTGATTGAGATGATGTACAAACGTATGGGCTAACTCTAATTTAGGTAAGTTGGTTATGTGCATATAGTGTGGTAAGTGGCAATTGTGGCAATAGAAGTGGCAATGTGGCAAGTAGCAAGTGGCAATAGGGCAATTGTGCAACAATCAGTAACTCACAACTGCTGCTGTGGTACAATCAGGTTAGACAGGACGAGATGAAGTAAGGGCTCTTTACGTTGTGTATAGTTTGGCTATTTCATGGAATAAGCGTTGGTATTTGGTAAGAAACAGCGACAAAATGATTGTTTTCCCTGGCCCCATCTTAACAAAAGCCAGAGGTCTGCCTATTGTTTTTGACTTGGTGATGGGCTGATGTGGAGGAGTCCAAGTTTTTTTTTTTTTTTTTTGTTGGAGTGTTTTATGCTTGTGGAATTTTGTTTGTTTTGTTATTGAATTCCTTTGCTTTGTTTTGTGTCCTGAGTGCTGTGGAGGGAAGTGCAAAGTACAGCATCAAATTGTTGGTGTTAATAATTGTTTATGCTCATTACACTGTCATGAAATTACTATGCTTTAATGTATTCTGCTTTCACTTTAACGGCTTAAGATGTCAAAAACCAAAAAGTTTGTCAGGTTTACGATATTACGTCTACGCCAACTTGAAATAGATGTCTTTGCTGAAGCATCAGTCACGAGCTGATAAGTTCCATCTTTTGTGAAAGGATTTTTCACTCCTGCACGATCTTTTTTGCGATGGAATTTTTCACTCCCACCCTAGTTCAAATGCAATTTTAGCTCCCTGGTGGGATCGAATCCCGATGCCGCCGACCCTTTTCAGGAGCATCGAGATTGGAACATAGGGTGAATACGGTAGCAGAGCGGGCGATAGAAGCATTGATTACAACGATCGTTTTATATTAGTTTTATGATATATATATATATATATATATATATATATATATATATATATATATATATATGGGCTTGAAGGTACCCGGTGCCCTTGCTCTGTGCATACACAGACACGATTGAGATGTAGGTGAGTAATCGCACAAATGGCCTTCCTGACATCAAACCCTTCAACCTGGCGTGTACACATTGAAAAGTTGGAAGTTAGTCAGGATTCAGATTGGCGGCGTTCGCCATATGCTCAAAGTCGCAGGAGTGGTAACAAAGCTAATTTGGTTCTCCTAGCTACAGAGAACATAATTCTGCGAAAAAGTGCGCGGTGGTAGACATTGCAGGGTTTCATTTAAGACCGTGGGGATGGCAACACGTCCACCCTAGGAGACAACCCTAAGCATCACTCCTAATGGGCTCACACCAAACCGTCTCACAGTTAATCCTCAGAAACCTGATCTGCCAACAAAATCTTCTAGACCTAGTTTTAAGAACTGAAAATTTTGAACAAGCAAAAAATAACCTCCACCTTCAGTCCAGGCTCTTGGAATTGTTCATCATACTAACCAAAATTGGGAACGGCAGGTCTGTAACTGTCGTCAACTGTAAAACGATGTTATAGTGCTTTAGAAGGTCTTGTAAAATTGAGCCATCAGATGCCAGTTGAAACTAAGAGGTTTGTGATTGAACGGCTTGTTCATCCCCATATGGGGTACTGCCTCACAGCCTAGGGGCTACTCTCAAAACGTTAGGATGATCCAAAGTGCTAAATTTTAGAGACAGAATTATCAGTGGAACCAAGAAATAGAATCCACCGCCCTGAAAACGCTCGGGTGACTAAAAGTTTTTGAAGGAGTTTTACTTTCTAACTCTCTACTACCCACTAAGGTCGCCAACGGCGCCAGAGTTCACGTGTCCCTGTTGTCCTGCGCTCTGATCTGCCCCGATGTAAGCGAGGCTCTGAAAGCCTTCTGTTACACAAGCCAGGTGTCCGTACTGAACTCGCCCGCTTGTCATTTCTATGGCGCACCACTTGCGCTTGGAATCGTCCAGTTGATGGGATTCGCGTGGAATCGTCCAGTTGATGGGATTCGCGTGGCATTCGCCAGTTGCCGCTGACCTTTGGCTAATTGCCCGCTGGTTCTGCTATGATTGTTGGGTAAACCAGTGCACCCGCCCCGGACTTCAATCCCCGGACAGCTTTATTGAAGGTCCAGCACCCTTCTCTAGATCACAGGGACCAGATACACTCAGTGTGCAATGTTGCTCACGCTGCGCCGCCTCTGCTCCCAGATCAGATTTGCATGCCATCATTAACACCCTTCAGTCGGTCAAGAGGCCGTTACAGTCTTAAACAATCAAGATGCAGGAACTGAATGTGAGATTCCTCAGCCCACGCGGGGTTCATCCCGCCACGGATTTCGAATAAAATTGTCCTAACATTCATCGCCATAAATATCCATGATATTATTCTTCAATTTTTGCTCCACCGACTGATTTCCGCTCACCTACACACGGCATTGCGCCCGCATCATTGTGGGTGATAAGTCATAGCACAATGATGCTGTCGACTATTCTAAACCTCACTGGTGGCGAACCGGGCATTATGTCGTTGGTAGGCATTGAACGGCGTCAGAAGCCTTCAAAGTTTATCTGGTAACCCCTCCCCGACGTTACTGCGGGACGCCTGGACAGGCCACAGCATTGTAAACCCATAGAAAAAGGTCTTTTTCGAGGCAACCAATGTGCAGATTGAGAGGGTGCAGACAGCTGAAATGCCTTCAACATTAGGCAGAACGTGTGTTCTCTCGTACGCCACGTATGCCTTTGAAGCTCAGCGCCTTGGCTTTTAACTGCAAGTCATTTTGCGCGTGTGCTGCAACGCTTACCTAGGTGGCGTTACAAGTACCAACACCCGTTATATAGATGGCGCTTACGTTGTCCTTGGGCTTATACTCGTCCAGTTTTCCTACGTGCTAACATCCTGCGTCCCCACGCGTTCTGCGTGTTGGAATACAGACTGTGCTTGCTGGGTTTGAAATATCCTAACATCGTGCATGCAGATGCCTTGCCCCTATTTTGTTCAGTCACTGAGGCATATTCTTGCCTCATCCGCCTGTCATTCTAGTCTAAACGTCACATGACATTCGGTCCTGTATTCGTCACCTACGTGTGTGAGGCTGCTAAGTTTGACGTTGGTTTGAAAATTTGTTAGTCGTCTTGGCATGATTGACGCTTTAAGCCCTCTTGCATTCACTGAATATTGGACGCGTGACATCGGCATGCGACGTTTCGAACTCACCTTCAGCATTAGGTGAGGAGGTCGGTGGAAGAATAACTCGTCCCTGAATAACGACAATTCTTCCCATGAAATGCAGGCCATATGCAGAGAGCTTACAACCCCAAGCAAGCTAATAATTTCAGCGCATATGTTGCGATTTACCGGATGTAAAGCACATGTAAAATAGAGACACGAGACAGATATGCAACACGATACCAGATAATGATACATTTACAAAATGCAGGAGGAAGAGCAAGCAGCAATGACACCAAAAGGGTCGTAGCAGTGGACAAGCAAGGCGTCATGCTATCCGCATCGAGACAAGCGGAGATGTGCCGGAGCCTTTGCGTCCGGGCCAACGGATAGCACGATGTAGTCGGGAAGGCGTCACCTGCCTTCTACGCATCAGAACCACGTCTCCCGGCAACGTGCTCACCGGCTCCAGGAAGCGGTCAGGGACGCGGAATCTGATCAGCCTGCCATCTCCATCCAACCAGTGGAACAGTGGGGAGCTACTTCGGGCGGCCTGAATCGGCCAATGCCGGTCATGTTAATTAACGTTAATTAACTATTTAATGTTAATTAACTATTGTGCACGTGTGGGTATGGGTGCACGTTAATTAACTATTGTCGGCGCTTCTTTTAAAGCACTTTGACCCCATCTAACGAAGTTTTGGTACCCAAGGCGGCATCTCTTACAAAAAAACGTATTTCATAGGGTGATAAAACGTCGTTTCATACGATACATCTTAAAGGGATGCAATAGTCTGCACTCATCTAGACCTACAATCAACCATGCAGCCGTAAAAATTTGCACTGAGTTTTTTATGATAGCGTGAGTATCTGTAATAACAGTTCGGTAGCATTTTACTTTGATTGCCCGAAAACACCAATGAACAACAAATACCCCATCAGAAGCATGGCCTGGCAGGGCGCCGAGAGCTTGGGCACTCTGGCATGCCTGACCCAGCATAAAGCCAAATTTTGGACGCCTGTCTGACTAGCAGCAGTTTTGTATCACGTTGTACATCGATATGCAGGGCCCTCACGATCTAGCTAAAAATTGCTAGGCTAGTAATGTGAAGCCTGCGCGTTTCAAAACCTGAAAACGAAAGGTGGGCATCCACAACTGCCCGAAACATTTTAGGCTGAGATTAAGGGTCAATGGGGGCGGACCATTTTTGATGAGTTCAAAGCGTGCACTCGTAGGCCAGTGCCCAAGCTTTTCGAAACGTTGAGTATGGGCATATATCTCGTGAAGTCTTGTATGCTGAATTAAGCTTGTCGTAAGTTGAGATGCATGGACCAAGTTTTTATTAGCCTGTCAACTTCTAGCTTAATTGTGGCGGCCCGGAATTTCGATCGACGGTCTAGTCTAATCTAACAGATGTGCTGCCAGCTTGACAGGCGTAGTTTTAGTGCTAAAAGTATTGGCTGGGTCCCACTTCCCGCAGACGCCTTGTCCATTCATTGACATATGAGCCCGGTTATTTGGCATTATCACCCGCACTTGAAATCGGCGCTTACCAATTTTTTTGGCGTCTTTACGAGTGAGCAGGGTACGCCATTCATACGTCTGAACGTCGATTCAAAGGTCAACCCTCGCCCTGACTCCCCTTTTTCATAACATAAACGGATAGGGGAAAAGCTAACCAAACGTTTCAGCTGTTCGTTCCGAGCATATGACGCCTAGTTTTTGTGTGTTTTGAGCACATGTGTATAATGTAGGGCTCCTGTTACCGTAGCAGGTGACGTGCCTGCCGCCGCCAGCGTCGACTTTGTTGGTTGCCGCCCGCCGCTCGCGCTGGTCGAAGGTTGACATAAGAGATCACTTTTCAGAAGCCAGATGCCACGGATGCATTTTTGTGTTCAAACACGCGTAATGGATGCCCCAGATCACACAGAAACTTGGTCACGATTGTGTGACAGGCCGGAAAGATATCCTCCAGAAACCTTAGGAAGGGGGAGGGCGCCTCGACAGTATTCTTCAGCTCATCAACCGTCTTATCAGGGGAGGCGTTGACGCTGCCCCCGGAAGTGTTTCCTTTTGCGTTGTTCATGTCAGGTCTGCGCGCAGGGTCCTTTGCGAGATGTAGTAGTTGAAACTTAAAATCACGTTTAGAACCTTAATGCAATAAAATGCTTCGAACGAACCCTGGCGCTTAAAATGCTGAACAGGCGCTTTATGTCGGCAGCCGCGATATCATGCCGTACTGCGCGTCTTGCCTTCATGCCATTGAACACTACTAATGAGGCGGTGTCCGCCGCATTCTTGTTCCAAGGTGCACCGCGACACGATTCTGCGTAGTACATCTTGAGTGATGTGAATAAGCTTAAATAGCACAGCTACGCTTTAAACTTGATTTCGCAAACTTATGCCATGCTGTAAGATTGCGTGAACACATGCCCGTAGCCATGGCAACGACAACTGCAATGGACTTTGTAGAGGCATCAAATTTGGCACGGCTGAAATGTTAAGTATGTAACAGAAATATCTACTAAATTGCTCCGGTTTACTTTCCTGATATATTTAAATAGCACAAGTCAATCAAGATATTACAGCAAACAATAAAGTCTTTCATTGTATTAGAAAATTTTTCTTAGGAGGCCGTGTCTTTGAGGAAAGCTGCATTACCCCAGCAAACTAGCCGCTAAAGCGCCCGCGAGTACGTCACTGGTTGCGAAATTCCCAAAACTTGTAGATCCAGCAACCGTGGAATTGCATTGAACCCATATATTATGATAACATCCTAACGGTTACAGTCTACTTGGGAACCTTACGTTACACCTTTAAATTAAACACTTCACTACACTCATCATTCTGCAAGCTGTACGGAAAGCCTAATCGCGTTTACATACACATCACACAATTGCACGTCGCGCAGCCAGTACGGCCCCGTGACACGGGTCGGCCGAAACTGGCCCGGTCAGACCAAGCAACCAGCGCAGTGGTTGGATGACCCAGCGGTCAGCAGCCGCGGCGGCGGCCAGCTACATCGTGCCTGTTAGGTACACGCAGTCAAATGCAGACAAGACTCGAACACAGGCATTTCTAAACGAACTTGCGACGCGACGAGGACGTCGTTTTCATCTTAGATCGAGTCAAGTACATCAGTCGCACAGCTTTCCACCTGTCTAAAAAACCCGAGATGCGTTTTAATTATGATGTAACTATCTTGCAGTTGAATTAAGAGTGTGCATTACGTTTATTGGAAAAGTATAAATGCAAATAATTTAGCTTTGTCGCAGACAAAAATACGCATCGAAAAGCTGGCATGGCATTCTTCGTAGGGAAAAAATAATTCAGCCAGGATTGAGTACGTGGACGTTAACAATTCAGTAACATCACAAATTCAGTATTAGGTGTGAAAAAGGTGTCCTTCGCATGATGAAAGGATCGCCGTGAAAATGTACGTGGGTGAAATGGCTGAAAAGAGGCATGCTTGGTGATTTGCGTTCTATTTTTGGGAAGGGGAAAGCGGAGCATTTTATATGAACAGGGCATTTGACCCCATCAGACCTAGAGCCTTCTAGTTTCTGAGCTACACGCCCCCGGAGAAATGCTGAATATTTCAGTTATTCAGGTGTGCATCACGCCATACCAACGTCGTTCAAATTCTGCCCCCCCCCCCCGCACAGGCTACGCGGCGTTCAAGGTGACGAAGAATGTATTTGTCGAGCCGTCCAGACCTAACTATTCTCTGGCTGCCAAGTTCACCCGCTGGCGTCCACTTAACCGGCTGTCAGCTACACCGGTTCCTCAAGCTGTCTTCTTCACCAGCTGCATCGGGTCCACTAGTTCCACCGTGTCTAGCCGCTCTACCGGCTATTGGCACCACTCTCGGGTGAGTTTATAGAGGAGGTGATAGTAGTGCGGACGGCAGTAATGCCGTTGGATACAAGCCCCAGTAGCCATGCCTTTACGCTTCGGTTCAGGGTGAACCCGAGAAAGATAAAGACTCCTCGTAGGGCGTGTAGCAGGCGGGTGACGTAGGTCAGTTCTGAGGCCTCCATTATTTCAGATGTGATATCAACGGTCCAGGTCAGCCCCATGAGCACCGCCAGCCGGCAGTAGAGGCCCAGGTGCGTCTGAAATGGTAAATGAAATGGTAAAAAAAATGAAATAGACTTTGAATTCCCGCGGAAGGGTCCAAAGCCTAGTATAAAATATGACAGCAACGGCGTACATCTCATTCACTTTAACCTTTACATTAAATTTCCCTTTCAGGCCCGCGGCTATCTTTATCTCGACCACATGTAAAAATGAAAAGTGCATACAAATGAAACTTGAACAATTTTCTATCAATTTCTGGCATCAAATAGGTGCGCGGTGGCACTCCTTTTCGCGCTATTAGGCAAGGCGTAGACCCGTGCACTTATTGTCATGTTCAATCGTGTGGTTAAATCCCGTTGCCGCCAACTTTTTTCAGCAGAATTGAGATAGAAAACAGAATGAATACCGATACTGGCTCACGATCAGATCATTGTGTACGAATGATCTGATGAATATTATACACACATATATATATATATATATATATATATATATATATATATCAATACAACCTGTGGCAGAGGGTGCATAGCTTTACTCTCCTTGACGAATGGAACCCATCGCGACAGTGGCCGTCCGAAACCAGCCGTCCCCAGCGCGGCCACAGGTAGGACCAGGCAGTGTACTAGGTAAGTTGCGATGCTGGCGGCCATTGCTGCGCAGGGTCGGCAGTGCCCCTTCAGGGCCAGCGCAGCAGCGATGACATGGTGACATTGCTAATGCATGCCGTTTATCGTTCCTCCGGCTGTTCCGTCGGCGGCAAGGGTAAAAAACCGTAGACACCGTCTCTCTCCAGACTGCGAAGCCAGATTTTGTCTTACTTTTAATGAAGCCCATGAACGCAAAATCGCATTGATCAACACTTCTCAAGTGAGCTTCGGTCGGATCGCGACAGCATCGTGGTTTTACCTATCATATCCCTGACCAGATGCCTGTTTGCTAAAACGCTTTCAACACCACGTAGTTGGCGAGGATTTTTTTGTATTTACACTGAATTCACCTTGGATATGTACAAAATCGCGCCGACATGGTGTCAGTACAAAATGCCAAATACGCCGCGTACAGTTCAGCACACAACGAAAGCCTGAGAACCCTGCCTAAAGCGCTTCAGCACTCGCCGTGAGCTCCAGAACGTTAACCGCGCACGCAAAATTTGATCCAAGAGCCAACTCACGATGTCAACGCTCCTTTTCTCCTCAACTAGCTTGAAAAGACAGGAACGATATGATTGAGATGCTCTGTGCCGGGCGATCACCGTTCCCGTGAGCATGTGCTTCACGTTGACAGACCGCCTCACGAAGTCAAACCGGTGATGCTTCTGAACAGCTCTCATGAGATTTTCGGCACCATCAAGCTCAGGACCATTCCATCAAATCATGAGCTCCTTCGTGGCATTGTCATGCCTCAGCTGCCGGTGCATGGAGAAACCCTCCTTGAGGATGCTGCCCATGGACTCAACCACGCCTTCGACAGGGCTGAGCAGCCACACGCGGATGACTGGACTGACGAAAGGTTCGATCGAGGGCCCACGTTTCCACAAAACTTTCAACAGCTTGGTTGGAGCTAGTGTGTTCCTCACTACGCAGGATGCAAAACCATACCTCACAAATCACAATCAAGATCTATGATTAATGAAAGGCATGAAAAACTGTGGAAAACTGAAAACTTTACCATCAGTGCAAAGGTATCGGTTGATGCATGCAACCCTAGAAGAAATCGTCTGTGGTTTATTCATGTGAGGTAAAAGCGTGAAGTGTTTGGAGTATTTTGGTAAGAGACAATGTTCATTGCCACATTTTTCCTTCCCATTTACAGCTTAAAACTATTATCACATTGGTTAATATCTGCTTTGGTACACGATAAATTCCATCGTGTAGGTACTTTGATTGCTGCTCTGTGAGTAACATTACTGGTGCTAGCAAAACAATTTTGTGCATCATATAACAATCATATGTCATTTTATGCACAATATCATGAGCAGGCCTAAAATAAGGTGAGATGATAAACTGCATATAGCAATAAATTAATCTTGCAGGTTAACGGCGGACCAGCAGCAGTAGGCTTTTGCGGGCCGAATCATTAGCTAGACGGGCCTTTGCGTACTATATTACCAGCTATGCTCTGTTTATCGTAAGAAAGAACGGAATTAAAGTGCTGCCAACGATTTTGCACGTTTTTTTTGCGCGTGGGTCATTATTCGAGTGTGCTGGAACCCAAAAATTGCCGGCATTATGACCGGCATCGCTTTGGTGTTGCGGTAATATTTTACGCAGTGAAAAGTTTTTATATTCTTTTACTTGTATATTTCATTGTCTTCTGATATCTTTTATATGTTTTAGTACCTACTTACCATTGAATGAAAAATCTAATCGAGTGTCTGGAAGGATTCTTGGGGCACAAAGAAGGGAAATTGTTTATAATGTGTATCAACATTTTGTCGAAGACCGGGACATGAAGTTGAAGGCGGGAGACGACGGCGCCGTCCGGGAGAGTCCATTATTAATAACAGCAGCTGTAACGGGCGTTGGGAAGACTACAGTCTATCGCATACAACGTGAAGCCCGGAATGGTGTCAGACTGAAGTTGGCAAGCCGATCCCGACCAGCTGCAGCAAGACCAAGGGTGGATCTAGATCCGTTCGATGTTTGCGCGATGAGGAGAATGGTACACCAAATGTACATCGATGGAAAACATGTTACTCTGGACACCATCACGGATGCTCTTCACGAACAGCTCAGCGTCACCATGTCTAGATCCACCGCAAGAAAACACCTACTCGCGAACGGATTTAAGTACCGAAGGATCGACAAGCGCAAGATCCTGATCAAGAAACCTCATTGCAGCAACGAGATGCCAGTTCTTGCGGGAGATGAGGAAGCTGTGTGGAGAAGTTCGCGATAGCAAAATCATTTATACCGACGAGACGTGGTATAATCAGTACAATATGGAGGACATGGCGTGGCTGGACGGTACTCAAATCAACGGACGGAAGAACGCCATTGGAAAAGGAAAACGTTTTATTATAGTCCATGCCGGCTCTTCAGAAGGATTTAT